TTTTCCCTACTAGAGGAAGTAACCTACTAACTATATAAGTAATAATAACTAGAGTTATCACAATACATTAATTCCCTTATTATTATCTATACGATTAAATGCCTATAAATGCTCAGGATTATCACCTTTTATCATAACATAAGCCCATCTATAACCCTATACTATATAGGCGCATATACCACGCCCCTGAATACGCTTATACCTATGCTAATAATAATTACTTATATAGTTATTTAGAAGGTAGTTATTATAATATTTATAGCCTATTAAGTAGTTAATATACTAAATATAGAGTTATACCCCTCCCCTAATATTTTAAAACAGTTAGGAAGTAATTTAAAACTAGTTCTAAAATACTTACTTTATATTCTATAATTATAAATTAATAAAAATCTAATTAGTTATAATAAGTAGTATACTTCTTAAAGTAAACTATTACTCTATATACCTAACTATATATAAATATACTAATTAGTAAAGTAATTTAGAATAAATTATTAAAGTAATATCTTTTATACCTTACTACTTTTTTATATATAATCTCTTAGTAAGCTTATACTATTATATTTTATTATAATTATATAAGTTTAGAAATAACTTTAGAGTAATTCTAAAACACTTATATTTAGTTATTAAGAGAGTATACTTTCCTACTTATATATATATATATAGTATATTTATAAAGTATATTTTAGAGGTATATAGATATAGTAGCCTTCTAAGCTACTATTTATTTATAGTAATACTAAAGCTATAATATAATTAGTTATATATTAATCCCTAATTAATCTAAAATTACTTATGCTAATAAATAGGTTTTTAAGTTATTTTTTATTTAGTATCTAAATATTAAGTATATATAATACCTCTTCTTTATTTATATTTAGGTATAGAGGAAATCTAAAAATCTAAATTAATTCTAAAGTAGTTATTAATATTATATTATTAATTTAAAGGTAGTTCTAGGTATTTAGTTCTATTAAAACTAAAATTAATAATATTTTAGTAGGTAGATAATCCTCTTTAATTTAGAATAGATTTAAAGTTACTCTTAAATTATTTCTAGAATAGATCTTATTTAAAGTTAAGCTTAAATATTTTTAGACTTTTAATACTACTATATAATTACTAAGTCTTTAACTACTTTATCCTTAATATTAGGGATAATAATAATAAGCCTAAGAGGAATAGAAAAGATTTAAAAAGTAGCTATATTAAATAGGAATAATTTAGAATTAATTAGGGAGTAATTATAATAGATTTATATAATTTATAATATTAGAGGTATAAGAGGGAAACTCTAATATTCTAAGTTATTATCTAACTAGAGGGGTAAGATAACCTAACTAGCTAAGTAATTTTTATAAAGTAGGCCTCTTACCTAGTTAAGCTAATATAGTTAAGTAAGCCCCCTCCCCCTCTAGTTAGTTTACCCCCTAACTGTTTTAGATACACAGCTTCAGGCGAAGTAGACAAGTTCATGGTCAGAAGAGCAAGCTGGTGTTAGAGCTTCAGTGACGACGACTTCTTAGTGCATTACGGCTGTAGCTGGCCGTTGAAGTCGGTGATAAGCGTTTTGCGGTGGGTTACATAGCGATGCTGCTCAGCTGTCGGCCGGTAAGCACTTGTCTCTGAGTGACAGGCGTTGGCTGAACGTCGCCGTGCTGATTGGCTTTCTCTTGTCTTACCACCCTCTTGTCAGGCGGAACGGGTCGCTGGATTTAGAAAGCTGACCAAAAGTAGTAAACGCTTTCTGCGCCGGATTTGCGCATGGTGCCTTGGGGCACAGTCAGACTTCTCAATCCATCCTTCGGGAATCCTCTCAGGGTGCATCCCAAATCGCTGTACTGAACCAGACATCGAGCGCGACCCTTCCCCACAATTTGACACTCGCCGATTGGTGGATGGATGATGTAAGAACTTACCATAGGCAATCAAAGATTGGCAACCTCTAGGACTTCCATGCTCGTCAAAATCGTAGGTTTCCAGGAGGTTTACTAGGCTGGCTGAAGCCGCAACATTGGTGTCACACGACCTAGGTCTCAGTTCGGCATCGACGTCCAGATCCACAACGACAATCAACGTCCAGCGCCGATGGTTTAGTAGTAAAATTCTCCGTTGCCATCAAGCAGCGTCGGGGAGCCGGGGGTTCGATTCCCCCTCGGCGCAATCTTTTGCTCCTGGCCTCATTTGAATTGAACTGATATGTTATCGTGTGTGGGAATACTTGTTGCCCTTGAAACAAGCACGTACTTGAGTTTCTGCCTGACTTTATTTAGCTGAGCGCCCGAGGTTAATTCAGCCTTAAGGTCACTTTCACCTTGTACAGATCGTGAACAACTCCAAATTCTTGTTCAAATATCTCACTTAGAGTCTAGATACAGTATCTTCGCTAAGAAGGTACTTCATAACCTTTCCAGACCCTGTCCTCGGTAGTCCGTTCACGAAAATGAACTCCTTTGGTATCTTGAATCGCGCAATGCGAGATTGGCAATGCATAACCATGTCCGTATGGAGGACTCCAGATCCAGACGAGGTGACAACATACGCCCGCCCAGCTTCACCCCAAGTCTCATCAGGAACTCCAACCACAGAGGCCTCCAAAATATCGGGATGCTCAATCAGAACCGTCTCAACCTCCGCTGGGTAGACATTCTCACCTCCAGAGATGAACATGTGTTTCCGCCTATCGACAAGAAAAATGAAGCCATCCTCGTCTACCCATCCAAGGTCACCTGTCCGGAACCATCCATCTGGTGTCAAACTCGCGATATCTTCTTCCACATTGTTCCAGTAAATCGGAGTTGAGAAATCCCTAGATACGAGAACCTCTCCCATGGCCCTTGGTGGTAGTGGCTCACCCTCGTCATCAACAACGCGAATAGAAGTCAACGGACCTGGATGACCCACAGAGCCAGCTTTCTTGATGATCATCTCGGGAGAAAGCGGCATACCAGATATCGTTCCCATCTCTGTTGAACCATACCCATCAACCATACAAATGCCTTGGTCAAGCCACCACTTGATGCGCGCCGGGGGGTTGGGAGCACCTCCCGTGAAGAGGGCTTTGAGGGTGAGCCATGCTGATGGGTCAAAGTTGACTGCTCTACTTAGCGCCTCCGCCATCTGAGGGACACAGAAGTAATGTGTGATTCCAAGTTGAGGATCACTCAGACGGCGATTGGTCGCTTCAGGGTTGAATCTCGGGGACACGAGCAGCGTGCCGCCTCGCATTAGAGGCGGCCAGATCTGCGCAATGAGACCCATGAAATGGAACATCGGCCCGTCACAGAGGAAGACGCATCCCGTATCGGCTTCTGTCAAAACGCTGAAGTCGACAGTGGTAGCCAGTATGGACTGAGCAGTCAGAATCACACCCTTCGGCGTGCCCGACGTTCCAGAAGTGTAAAGAATAATGCTCGTCTGCTGTGACGACCTTGATTGGAGTCGGTGTTTGGGGTCTGCATTATCGACCTCCTCACAGAATCTAGAAAATTCAATGTGGCGGCAGTCAAGAGGTAGCGCGGGTGGGTCTCGATCTGTAAAAATGATTGTTGGCGTGCAGTCATCCAACAGCTTAGAAAGCTCGGGCTGGGCCAGGCGCCAATTGAGGGGAACGAAGATGGCTCCAAGCCTCATCAAGGCCTGTTGAAGTATGATCTGATGAACGCTGTTGATGCACACGGTGGCAACCCTGTCACCGGCCTCGACGGCGTATGCGGACAAGACTGTGATTGCGCGCTGTATGTCGGAGTTGAGTTCCGCATACGTCCATCTTCGGTTGGTTGCGAGATCGATGCAGGCCAGGCTGGCCGGCCGTAAACGTGCATGCAGCAGGACAGGGTCTGGCGCGAAGAGACCAGCCATTTTCTTTGCGGGAATCGGCAAAGTAGGAGAGCCCGGTGTGTTGGTTCGGGCGCGCTTTGTCAAAGGGAAGATCCGCTTCGGTGAGCGTCTGCTGAAGAACCAGACGCCGGGCGAGGGTGGATATTTTGGGTCGATCACCCGAATCAACCGAATCTTGATAACGCCTCGGCTGAAAGATGGTATGAACAGGTGCGTTCCAATGATAGTCATAAGGGTGTAGAGATGACTGAGAATGAAGAAGAGTAAGCCCTGAGCCAACGGCCCAAATATACCTCATCAGCTAGCGGCAAGGCAGATAGGTGTTTCTGAACGTCGCCGTGTCTTCGGAGCTGTTTCCATTTTCTTCATTCTCTGCCTTGCAGCCGATGAAGAATTTGACGAATGCGAAGAAATGAATAGCCAACATCGTGCAGCCCTTCCGGAATGCGGAGCCCCGGGGAGCCAGCTTCGTGCTGCCAACATGCACGTTGGTGGTGTGGTGTGTGTGGAGAACACAGACAGCGTACCTCAATTTTGCTGCGCCGTTAAAAGTCGCAATCCTTCAAAATCCTACTGACCTGTGTCTTGCATTGACGCTAGATCAGATATGTACGCTTTTATTTTGGGCAATCTGCTCGGGGGCCCAATAGATCGTGAGAGAGACACTCTCTGCGCTAGACTTGCCAATATGACCTGCACATTACGCCTCGGCAGCCAAGATTTGCAGAACCCTCAGCCAAATGGCTGACTTCCCGGAATCGTCATAGAATGCGTGACATGATCTGACCTAAGAATGGAGAAAGCCACAGCTTCTCGTTGGTATGTCGTCCAAACGATTGGTTGAGGCACATGTTCCTGCTGCGCCGCTGCAGCTGAACTTCTCCTTTGAGATGAATGGGTGCCTGGGATTGCATGCAGTGATGCGAAGTTGATGATCCGCACCTGGTGAAGAGGTGCAGTGACTAGGAGAGACATGGGCGGAACTTCGGTGTATCGCGATGTCTGTCTCCATCATTGCCGCTAACCGCAGACCCCCAGGTAAGACTTTTCTTCCATTGGTCTGCTCGGTTCTGACGAAGTCCAAACCGTTTTGAGGCTCCGGCATAATAAGATAAAGTGTGCAAGAGTTCTTCGCGGGTGGTGTCGTGTGATCCTTCGGCACTTCCAAAGTTCCAAACATATTACTCACATATCTCTGCGCTCAATACTGGACCAACGCCTAAATTCAGTCATCAATCGGCATTACAGGAGAATCGGGACTTCTGTACAACTTGAACAGCATGGGGACGAAATCTGACTCTTCAAGGCCTGTACCCGCTGATGATCAAGGTACAGCAGCGGGACTCTATGAGCCAATCGCTATTATCGGCATGGGAGTACGGCTCCCTGGACATGTTCATACCCCAGCAGACTACTGGGACCTTCTAGTCAATGGCAGAAGTGGACGGTGCCGCGTTCCAAAGAGTCGATACAATGTTGAAGCCTGGTATGGTCCGGGCAGACCCAACCATGTCCCAACGGAGTTTGGCTACTTCCTCGAGGAACTGAATCTAGCACATGTGGATCCCAGCTTCTGGTCTTTCACTAAACAGGAAGCTGAGCGCATGGATCCGCGACAGCGACTCTTTCTTGAAGTTGCTTACGAGGCTCTTCAAAGTTCAGGTGACACAAAGTTCAGGGGTGCCGATGTTGGTGTCTATGTTGGCACCATGGGCGACGACTGGAGTCAGCTCGAGTCTCGCGACGAGCAGAGCCTCGAGCAGGTTCGGCCTGATGTATATGGAGATTATATCCTTGCAAACAGAGCCTCGTACGAGTTCGACTTGACCGGACCGAGGTGAGTCCAACACCTCGAGCCTTTATGAACTATCTGAGCTAACACTCAAGCTCAGTGTTGTGGTCCGCACCGCTTGTTCTGCCTCTCTTGTTGCACTGCATATGGCATGCAGAGACCTGCATGGAGGCGATTGCACTTCTGCCATAGTCGGTGGCGTCAACCTCATTCTTACTCCAAAGGATACGACAGTCATGCATCAACAGGGTGTACTGTCTCCGTTGGGTTCTTGTAAAAGCTTTGACGCCGAAGCTGATGGCTTTGCAAGAGGAGAAGGCGTTTCTGCAGTCTACATTAAGAAGCTTTCGGATGCCGTACGGGATGGCGACCCCATCCGGGCGGTCATTCGGTCTACATGTCTGTCCGGCAATGGGAGAACCCCGGGTCTTACCACACCAAGTTCCCAAAGTCATGAGAGACTGATGAGACGAGGGCATCGGATAGCTGGTATTACGGACTTGTCGAAGACTGCGATGGTTGAGTGCCATGGAACTGGAACCTCTGTAAGTCACATTGCTATAACATTCTGAGTATGAAAGTGTCGAGTTGACGATCTTGGGTAACCTGTAGGTTGGCGACCCTATTGAGGTCGGCGCGGTTGCCAACATCTGGGGAGATCACGGCATCTACATCGGATCGGTCAGCTAAACGTGGTCATAGAGTAACGTCTGATACTGATATCAGCCTTAGGTCAAACCCAATATTGGTCATGGCGAAGGTGCGTCGGGGTTATCCAGCATCATTAAAATGGTACTAGCATTGGAAAAATCGACAATCCCACCTAATATCAACTTCACGACGCCGAATGCAGGAAGTAAGCTCATTCCATGCAAGAATCAAGACGTTATAGATGCTGATATGTGAATCTAGTTTCATGGGAACGCGCTAAACTGAAGGTGCCAACAACATCTTTGCCTTGGCCATCAGACAGACTCGAGCGAGCTTCTGTCAACAGTTTTGGGATAGGCGGCTCTAATGCTCACGTCAGTAGTTACATGTCAAATCTTTCGGTGGGATTCTTACCGTGAATCTAGGTTTTACTTGAGTCCGCTGCCTGCTTTGGCGTGCAATCCTCTCGCCGTGTTCACGGCCAGAACCTCAGAACTTCCAACCATCGTCTTCTCACCTTTTCTGCGCGCCATATAGACTCGGTCAGTCGTTTAGCATCAGATGTCGAACGATATCTGGATCGAAAATCTCGACTCCTGGGAGATGTGGCCTGGTCTCTAAACACTCGACGCGAGGCCCACGCGCATCGCGCATTCTGTGTAACAGACGGCAATGGCCCTTTCCAGATGTCCTCGATAGCCAAGCGAAACAATGATCCGCCAAGCTTGATTTGGGTGTTCACAGGACAGGGAGCTCAATGGGCTCAGATGGGGAAAGAGCTGCTTCAGCAGAACGTTCTAGTTCAACAGACTATCAGTCGCCTGGACAGCGTGCTGGCAAGCCTGTCAGATCCCCCGCAATGGAAATTGCAAGGTATCTTTTCGTCTTGAAATTGGACACGCTCCGATGCTGATCAAATCAGATCTACTTCTAGCACCTAAAGAGCAGAGTAGACTTGCCGAGGCAGAATTCTCGCAGCCATGTCTTGTTGCCATCCAGGTCGCTCTTGTAAATTTGCTCAGGTCCTGGGGTGTCACACCCGATGCCGTCGTTGGACACTCTTCGGGAGAAACCGCGGCCGCTTATGCAAGTGGAGCAATCACAGCTGAAGATGCCATTCGCATCGCATACCACCGAGGTCAGATTACCCTGCTCATTAAAGCCGCCCACAAAGGCTCCATGGCCGCAGTCGGACTTGGTCGAAGTCAGGTTCGGAAGTTCCTCCGCCCAGGTGTTATGATCGGCTGTGAGAACTCACCCGCCAGCGTGACGTTGTCTGGTGAGGCAGATGTGCTTGAGGACGTGATAAAAGACATCATGGCCGAACACCCTGGAGTGCTAGCACGGAGCCTTCATGTTGAGTGCGGGTACCATTCGCGTGAGTTGAATGCTCCTTACTTTTTCCCAGCCACACTGACAGATTTACCCGGCAGAACATATGCAAGCAGCAGAGCTGGACTTTACACAACGATTGAACGGGTGGTTGCAGCCAAATCAACCGAACATCCCATTTTATTCGTCGGTTACAGGCACACTCAACAACGACATGTCTCATTCATACTGGGTGCGAAACGTTGTCTCTCCAGTTCTATTCAGCACAGCAGTTGAGTCTGTCCTCGACGATTTCAAGGCGGCAACTTTCGTCGAGATAGGTCCACACTCGGCCCTAGCTGGCCCTATACGGCAGATCTTACACGCCAAGGGTCGGATCGCTCAGTATGTCCCGACCTTAGTCCGCAACCAGGATGCGATATCCTGTGTTTTGAAGACCGCAGGAGGGCTTTGGTCAATCGGCGCCAAGATTGATCTTGCCGCAGTAACACCGTCTGGGGAGTTTCTGACAGATCTACCGACATACCCTTGGCACTATGACAAAGAGTATTGGGTCGAGAGCAGATTTTCTCGATCCTGGCGTCTACGCAGGTTTGACCATCACGAGCTGTTGGGCACTCGAGTTGAGGAGATCTCCGATGCTTGTCCTGCCTGGAGGTGCAATCTCAGAGTCGAGGATGTTCCGTGGATCCGAGACCATATGATTCTCGGAGAAAACGTATTTCCTGCAGCAGGATTTGTGTCCATGATCGGGGAAGCGTTGAAGCAGTTGAAAGGGTCCGTCAACTACACCCTCGGGCATGTCACGTTTGATTCAGCTTTGGTGCTGAACGACCGTCCAGTCGAGCTCGTCACTGTTCTCAATCCACCACCGCCCACGCCTTACCTGGATTCGGAATGGTATGAGTTCTCGATCTCTTCGTTGAGTGAAGGCAGCGACAACTGGGTCAGACATGTCACGGGCGAGTGCAAAGCCGGCTCTGATTGCGGCCACCAAGCTCCAGAAGTTGTGAAACTTCCACGAAAGGTCTCCTTGGATTCCTTCTACAGTACCTGGAAGAGATTTGGACTTAAATACGGTGCCAGGTTCCGCAACCTTGCCGATGCTAGCTCCCATGTTACCGAACCGACAGCCATTGCATCTCTACAAACGGATTTATCGGACTACGAAATGGCATCCTACGCCATTCACCCCACAGCTCTTGATTCGAGCATGCATTTTGCGATGGTCGCATCATGTCGCGGTCTTACCAAAAACTTCAAGCAGATGGCAATTCCTACATACATCGAGGAATTGTATGTTAGCAGACCATCCGGAAAGATACACCTCGAAGCGACAGCGACCGAGAACTCCTCGATGAAATCATCAAGCTACATCACCGGAGTGTCGGACGGTGAAACTGTCATTGACATCAGAGGTCTTGAGGTAGAGCCTGTTGCCGGTAGCTCTGCCCACCAGACCGAGGATCCCCATGCCGGCGCTATGGTAGAATGGAAACTCGACGTTGACTTCCTAGACCCTACTCATATTGTTCGCCACCAGGACCTTGGTTCTTGCACCGGAAACCTGGAAAAGCTGGTGTTAGCATGTATTGTGGAGTCAAGAGGGCAATTACAGTTCCTCCCGGCAACGCAACCACACTTCGTCGACTTTAAGAGCTGGCTGGATGCAACATACCGACAGATGGTGGCTGGAGAACACCAAGATTCTGCCAGTTCATTTGATATCGCAAGGTCCACTCCTCAGTTGAGGCAGGTGTTCATTGCAGACATGCTAGAAGCTTGCAAGGGCACACCTACGGAAAACCTCGCGCTGGCAATCCATCATGTGTACATGAATGCTGCGTCGTGCTTCAGTGGCAGGCCCGACGCTATCAAAGCTATCGATTCTGCTTCCACAATGGCTCGAGCAGCGGAGATTCTCTGCGACATAGATCTTACATCTTTCCTTCAACTTTTGGGTCACAAGAGGCCGAACATGAACGTTTTGCACATCGGTGGTTCCAATGACACTGCCGCTACCATCAACAAGATATTGTCAGCTCTATCATCTGATAGCTATGGCCACCGTCTGTACGGAAACTACGTCTATGCCTGCACATCATCAAAATCTTCCACTCCGGTGCAAGACTGTTTACGAAATTTCCCTGCGGCCAAGAACAGTAACCTCAATACTGATGTCGACTTAACATCCCAGGGACTCAGCAACGAGTCATTTGATGTGATTCTTGTTTTTGATGTAGGATTATCTTCGAGAACCAACTTGAAAAAGATACGCAAATTGCTGAAGTCTACGGGGCGATTAATACTCGGGCAGCCAAATTCAACATCAAGAGCTCTCCAATATGTCACGGGCCTTGTACCACAATCGAATTCGTTGTCAGAGAATCTGGAACAAGAACTTGACCTTCGAGATCAGCTGCAGCATACGGGCTTCGATGTCAGTTCGGCCGCTACGGTCTTGGGCGATTATTCACGCCTGACCATCGCCCGCCCGTTCTTGGACCACTGGAAGACCGACCGAATCAGCATCATCTGCGAGGATCCAGCCCATCATTTTGTCAGAGACGCAACGGAAGCTCTTCGTGGGCTCGGTGTAGATCTTGACTGCGTCGCCCTGGGCGAGGAACTGCCATGGGGACAGCCAGTCGTGTGCCTTTTGGATCTTGAAGGCCCTTTCATCCATGGAATGTCACAGCAAGGATGGGAAGATCTCAAGAAGACCATTCTTTCGGCACAAGATGAGAAGGTGCTGTGGGTGACCGGGGCTTGCCAAATCGAATGCATGGATCCGAATTATTCCCTGGTATTGGGCCTCGCCCGAACTCTTCGAAAGGAACTTGCGATGGATTTTGTTACCTTGGAGCTCGAGTCATTTGACGCCAATGGCTGGAAAGCTATGCATACCATCCTCAACAGCTTCGGACAGCGTATCGCTGGAGGTGACGTGGATCCAGAGTCGGAGTACGTTTTTTCACAAGGCTTGCTTCACATTAGTCGCTTCCATTCAGTCGAAGTCTCGAAGCTCTTGCAAGAGCCGAGTGAAGCCTCCAGTGAAGAGATTCGGGGTCACGAAGGGCTTTCTCAAGTGTCTGAGACCGACGTGTTAGACAACTGCCGTCTCCCAGCCAGCTCATTAATACCGTCCATGACCTGCCGCTCGGATCGAACCTATGTTTTTGTCGGTGGACTCGGCGGACTCGGCCAGGCCACGGCAAGATTTCTTGTCGAGCAAGGAGCCAGAGAGCTCATTTTCTTTTCGAGGTCAGCTGAGCAGTCGGCTAAGAATCATCCTGAGTATTTTGAAGAACTGAGGGCTCTCGGATGTATTGTCCAAGCGATCTCTGGGACTGTCAATGCCATGGACGACGTAACGAGAATGGTTCACTCAGCAAACCGTCCGATCGCTGGGTTGCTGCAAGCAGCCATGGTTCTCCAGGTATGCTTACCCTTCGTATTTTCAATGCCGCTAAAAGTGATCGAAACTGACAACCTACACTACAGGATACCAACATCACCGACATGACCTTTGAACAGTGGCGAACAACAGTTGACCCGAAGGTGCAGGGGACTTGGAATCTCCACAATGCTTTGCAGCAGTACCAAAGCGAGCCCCTTGACTTCTTCTTCCTTTTCAGTTCGCTCTCGGGTCTTGGAGGCCAGATCGGCCAGGCAAACTATGCGGCAGGAAACGCGTTCCTTGACGCCTTCGTGCAGTATCGCCACTCTAAGGGACTGGCTTGCTCAGTTCTCGACATTGGCATCATGGAAGATATTGGTGTCTTAGCGAGGGAGCAGAATCGTCTTGAAGCCCTTCGGGCGACGAAGCAACATTGCCTGCACGAACAGGACCTTCTCGATGCTTTGGAGTTGATGATCAGACGGTCTCAGCCAGTATCCGGAGAAGAGACTAACGCCATACAAAACCTCAGTGGCTTCTCAAGTCGCGGTCAAGTTGCCGTCGGCATGAGGTCATCAGCCATGTCCAGCAACCGAAACGGATGGCAGAAAGACCCACGCTCAGGATTCCTGTCGAATACAGGACTGACGGGAAGAACTGAGAAAAAGGAGAAAGAGGGAATCACTTTGAAGGATTTCTTGAGAAGAAGTCACCTGGATCCGTCGCATCTTGAATCAGACAATGCAAGGGCATTTCTGGCTAAAGAGATTGGTGGGGCGTTGCAGGGTTTTGGCATGAGAGAGGATGAAGAGGTTGATCTGTCACGACCCTTGCAGACGGACTCTTTGGTGACGGTGGAGCTCCGCAACTGGATCCGGCAGAAGATGGGCGTTTCTTTAACAGTCGTGGAGTTGCGGAGTGCGGAGAGTATTTTTGCATTGGGGGAAATGGCTGCAGCTAGGCTTTTGACTGTGGACGACAGGAACACACACTGAGTTTCTCTTGAAGCCATTTTCCATGTACGATACAACCAGGCTCAACTAGGGCTCACTTAGAATTTATCCGTAACATCCAAAATGGAATGATCCTCATACATCGCCATTGTTTAGCTGTGTTAGGAACGACGTAAGTCATACCGCAACTGTGAATGCAGACAATTAACGAGGGGCTCTATATCATACTTTCTGGCGCAATTGAGATTCTTGTCAAGACGGGCTTTACTACGTTCTTTCACTGACTCGAGATACCACTAGCAATCTGAGAATGATAACGGTCCCCGCAGTTTCAGTCGAGATTACATAATACATTTAGACTTCAAATTACCTATACTATAGATACCTATAGGTACCTATCTAAATAGGTTAAGTTATAGGTATACTTAGAATATAAGTAGATAAGTTTACTAAGTATATAAGTAGATATTAATCTAAGTATAAATAAAGATTCTACTTATACTTATAAATTAAAGGTATATACCTTCTAATAGATATAATAAGGTATTATACTAACTATTTTATTAATTATATAAAATTTAATTTATTAGTAATATAAGTTACCTATTTTAAAAGAAGTAAGTTTATATTATAATAATTATTATAATAATTTTATAAAAATTATTTCTATATTTAAATACTCTTTATATAATATAGTTATACTTTTATTACTAAATTCTTAAAATAATCTATTTAAACTAAGCTATTCTTTACTATATAGTCTTATAACTATCTTATTCTACTATTATCTATTAAATCTAAGTTATAATTTTATTCTTATTAATTTAAAAATAGTTATCTATCTATTCTTAAAGAGTATTATAAAATACTAAATTATTATTATTAAGTTAATATATAATATCTCTTACTACCTTTTTAAGAGTATTAGTTAATTTAGTTTTAAAATCTTCTTTATTAAAGATTTTAAGATACTTAAAACTATTAAGATTATAGCTATTAAGTTTATAGTTATAACGCAGCCCCCCTGCAAAAAGACTATAGCAAAATTCACCCTATATATAGGTATAATTTTAGAAATACTATATAAGCACTTTAACTTATACCTTCTACTAGTTAAGGAAAATAGTATAGAAACCCTATATATTCTTATTAGCAAGTAAACCCTCTAAATATTATAAAGTTAAACGTATACCTTAGCTAAATAGACTAGCAGAATAGTAATAGCACTAGCTACATAGCGTAGAGCTAGTAGCAGTAGCGCTACACATAGCAAGGCCGATCATATTAGGGCTAAATAGGTCACTAAGGCTCTTATAGCTTAGCGATAGCTTCACTAAACCTTCTAGTAAGGTGAATACTACTATAAGAGAGATAACTCCTTAACTAAAGAGGTTATCCTAAGAGGTTCTTATAGCTAAAAGTATAAAAACTCTACTACTATAGGTAAAGCTTTATACCTTTCCCTCTTCCTCTTCCTCACCCTATAGCTTATAATAAATCCTTTATAATATTTACACTATATAAAATACTTAAGTTTACTAAGTATAAGCTAAGTAGCACTCTTATCTCTATAAATAATATATAACATATCTAGAATAACTTTAAAGTTTAACCTTAGTATACTTAATAAGAAGCTCCTATTTAAAGAATAATCTAAAGAAGACTAAAAGTATATTATCCTAATAGCCCTATTAATAAGCCTCTTAGAAGCCCCTATAGGTAGTAATATTATCCCTCTCACTAAGAAAGCTTTAGATAATATTAACATAAAGTTTAACTATATCCTTAGCTACCTTAATAAGTAGGACTTCTTCTCTAAAGTACTTAAGGGTACTAAAGAGGATATAAGCCTCATATAAAGCTTATTAGTAAGTACGCCTTATGCTAACTAATAGAGAGAGTGTTACTAACAACAGTATAGCTATAAAGGCGTTAGCTAGCTTAATTAAATAAGAAGAGAATAATAGTAATAACTTAATAATAGATAGCAAAGCAGTAATAAAGATGGTGTTTAATAGTAGCGTAGGTGATATGCGAGAGAGAGGATAGGTTAATAGTTTAATAGTCAGTAATTAAGTAATTAAGTAATCATAAACTATATTATTATTAAAGTGAAGTTAAAGATCGTAATATTATCTAGTATGACGTGTATATATAAGTGCAGCTATAGTTAGGAGAGGGATATAGTTAGAGACTATAATCATATAACTAAAAGCTATATATATTATTAGGAGGCGTAAAGTTAGGAGGTCTATCGCTCTAAGTAGGTAAAAATCACTATAAACAGCTAAAAGCTAAGATTATAGCTATATCTAATAGTCTCTTCTTTATTATTATTACTTATTATATTACTACTAATAAGGTTTTCTTTATAGTTAGTAGGAGCTTAAAAGTTTTTAATATAGTTATTAGTAGTTTTAGTATTTTACTTTAAGTTATTAATAATTTTAATATTTTTAGTAGAGATATTATTAAGCTAAGCTATTCCCTTAGTAGTATTAATAGTATTAAGATTTCTAATAGAAATATTATTAAACTTAATATCTTTAAACTAACTAAATATCTATAGAGGAGTATCCTTAAATATCTTATTACTCTTATAATAGGAGCTAATAGAAGAAATTAAGTTTTTATAATTAGTTCTTCTCTTCTTCTTTAGTTTTAGTATAATTTATCTTATTATAATTCTCTTTCTCTTTTTTATAATATCTTACTCTTTTTTATTACCTTTCTTAAAAGAGGTTTTCTAACTTATTTATTTATATTAAATAATAAAATTTAGTTTTAAAGTATCTTTAATTATAAAATAGAATTAAGTATCTTTAATATTTTTCTACTATTACTTAATTTTATTAGAATAATCTAAATAAATATAAGTAGAATAAAATAATAGAATAGAAATAGAATTTAGTACCTTTTATAGTATTACTAAGCTATAAGTATCCTATACCTTAAGATATTATATAAATCTTCTTAATAAAGTTAATATCTATAGGTTTAATAATAACCTTCTTAGTATAAATAGCTATATATAAAGTTATTAGAAATAAGTTAGTAAAAGAATAGAAAGTAAATAAATAAATATATTTTTAAATATAGTTACTAAGGTTATTTTAATAGCTTCTTAAAGAGTAGTAAGAGCTATTACTTATTAATAAGTTAGATTAGATTTACTAACCTATTTATCTATAATTTCTTTAATAAAGTACTAAAAAGGCGTTTTAGGAATAAAAGTACTATAGGAAGCTTAATATTAATAAATTTCCTATAAAGTATAATCTAAAGGATATTAATATTATAATAACTAAAATAAATTATAATAATCTAACTTACTTCTAAGTTTATAGTAGTAAGTAGGTATATACTTTCCTATAATATAGGTAGGGATCTTATAAATAATCTTCTAGTTAGTCTTCTTAGTAACTATAATAGTAATCTTATAACTATATTTATAAGTAGTTTACTTAAGCGTATTTTTAGTAGTATTTATACTAAATAATATAGTAAGTAAAGGTATTATAGATTTAAGATATTTAAAAGAAATTAGATTCTAAATAAGTAAAAATAAAGGAAATAGTAAAACTTATATAGCTAGTAGTAAAATAAACTAAATAAGATTATAATTATAATATATTATAGAGGAAAAATAAAGTAGAATATATAAAGTAATAGATATTAAAAAGAGGGGTTATAAATATATATCTAATAAGTAGTAAGAATAACTAACTTACTTATTACTATAATAATAGCTACCTACTTTATAGAAATTATATAATATACTAATATAATCGATATATCTATATTATATAAAATTAATTTTATATTTATTATTAATCTATCTTCCTACTATAATTAAAATATAATATATCTAAAATAAAGATAAATATCTCAGCCTCTAGCCGTTCATAGTGATTTTTACCTGCTTAGAGCGACAGACCCTCCTAACTCCGCGCCTCCTAACAATACACACAGCCTTTAGTCATATGATCCCTAACGACCTCCTAAGTCTCTAACCACATCCCTCTCCTAACTATAGCTGCACTTATATATGCACCACTAGACAACCTCACAATCTTTAACTTCACTTCAATAACAATATAGTTTATAATTACTTAATTACTTAATTACTATAGACTACTAAACTGNGAAGTTAAGTTTTACTAATTAAAATAGTATCTAAATATTAAGATAATATATATAAAGAAAATAATAATATAAGAATATTAAAATTAGGATTTCCTAAATAAAGTAGAGTAAGAAACTATAATCTAATAAATAAAGGTTTAAGTTTATTAAGATATATAAGTTCTCTTAGAAGAAGATATTTTAAAAATATTTATAAGAATTTAGAATAGAAAGTAGCTATTACTTAGCTTAATTTAACCCTTACTTTTTTTTATTTATTCTAATTATACTACTATAATTAATATCTTTACTAAATATTAAAGTTTAATCTAACTTTAAGATATTAAAAAGATCTATTTTAAAACTAAAGTATAAAATATAAATATCTTTTAATAGCTTATATAAAGTATTAACTAAGTTTAGAATAAATATTTATTAATCTTTTTTTACTCTATACTATATAAATATTTAAAGTTTAAAAACTAACTTTTATAATAATTAACTTTAATATATTATTAAGGATAATTATAAACTAAGTTAGGAGGATATACCTCTATATAAACTAATAGAGTTTAAATAAGATCTTTTAGTATAGTTTATAAATAATTTTAACTTTAAGATTAATAAATATAATAAAAGGGATATACTAAATAAGTATCTTTAGAATAAAATAAAAGTTATCCCTAAGGTTATTTAATATATAAGTATTTTATAACTCTTTTTCTTAAGTATTCTTATTAAAATCTTATAGTAAACCTTAGTTATTAGTTATTAATAATTTTAAGTAATATAACTTATAATACTTAACCTATTTTAGCTAAAGCTATTATATTTCTATTAATTCTTAGAGAAAATATAAGAGATTTTTAAAAAAAGCTAGTATTATAAAACTTAATAGGATTTTTCTATAAATATAG